CTAAACCTAACCTCCTCGTCTACGTCTCCTCCTCTCTCTCTCTCTCTCTCTCTCGATTACAGCTTCGATTACGCTGTGTGGTGGTCGCGAATCGAAAGTGCAAAACGGCACTGGAGTTACGAGAGAGGGGGGAGAATTTATAGAGCCGCGACACCTGTTCCCAGCCTCGCATTAACATCCGAAATATTTCACTTGCTCGTGGAGACTCGCGAAATTTATTTTTTTCGACGGGCGAATCGAAACAATCTCGTTGAATTTTGTAATATAAGGAGTTTAAACCTTTGTTTAAACGTGAAAGTAAAATTTGTGAAGGCGAAAAGTATAGTTGTTTATCGAGGGATTTTTAATGAAGAAAAAAAAAAAATCTTTCTGTAGAAGATTCTGTAGAAGATAATAAAATAAATGTCGTACGTCGCGTGGTATTGTTACCACGGGAGTATATCATTGGAGGGAAGGAAAACTCTGTTGGAAACGGCAGGGAGCGGAAACGACGACGTACGCGTCGACGTCCGATAATTTCCAACTTCTCCAATTATCGTTTCTCACGCCGGCTGGGAAAGGAGGTCGAAGAGAATAAACCTAGGAAATGGCGTGTTCCGTTGGCTGACGTTGCTCGAAATGCGCCGAGCCTCGGAAATAAGTGCTGGCCGATCATCGAAATCGGGCGAATTTCCGCATCGAGATCTCAACTGTCGAAACGATTCGAAATTTTCCGCCTCGAATAATACGAGAGAAACTTTCGCATCCTTGTATCTTCCCTCGTTAATTAATTAAAATCTAAGAATAATATTCGACGATAGACTCGAGATTTCCTTTTTATCACCTCCCTCGATTACACTTCTTTTCAATTACAATTCCCTTCGATTCATCTTGATTCCTCCCCCTTTTCGATCTCATTTGTTATATCGATCTCACTTCTCTCTCGATCACACTTCCCTCAATTCCTGAACACTATCAATTCCATCTCTCTTCAATTACATCCTTCCTACTCTATATCCCCTTCCAACTCCTTCAATTCTATTCCTTTCGATTCCTCTCTTTTATTTTTCCATTCCATCAATTCCATCTCTATATACCTATTCTATTTTTAGATTACGATTTCATTGGTTATATTCTCTTTTTCGATTACACCTCCACCTAATTTCATCGTCAATCTCCTTATAGAACGTACGAAACTTTCGAGGAAAAAGTTTGTGAAATAAAATATATCCGAGTTTCGTTAAGAATAACCAAAGTATCGAATATTTATGGAGCTAATAACACACACATCCAGTTGTTGAAAACGCGGGGGTTGATTTATTTCAAATATCGTTTAAAGACTCACCGATCAGCTTGCCGAACTGGGCCGGTGGCTTCCATTCCGGATAATGTCGTGGAAATCGCGCCCTCGACCAGTAAGTCCTTAAAGTGACTTTGTATAGCGCCAGCTTATCCTGTTTGTCCTCTTTCTCCTGTCTATCCTGAGCGAACGATCCGCATTGAGCGACCACGAAGAGTAGCCGCGTACCCAGCAACAACAACAGCAGCGTCGACCACTGCGACCACGTCCCGCGAAGCATCTGAAAAATCATTGACGATTGTGTGATTGACAGTGAAAATGTGATATAAAAAAGAAAAATGTGGAACAAGTAATCTGGAATCCTTCCAGAAACAAAATACATTTGAAATAAAATTTTCGACGATCGCAAAGATGATAATAATATAATTTTTGTAAATAAATTCACTCGAACGATCGATCGAGTGATAGCGAAAAGAGTGAAAATATTCCAGCTATTTAATAATTGAACGATATAATTACACGATTATTGCCGCAAAGCAAGCAGCACGAAACTACGCGAAATGGCGCTAACATAAAGCTCGAACGAATGATGCTAAATTTCACACGTCTCTAAAGCCTCTCCCTCGAACGTAGCCTCCTTCCATCGATCGATGCCTCCGCAATACGAGTCGCAATTACACCGTATCGAACGAATTGTCCACGGAACTTGTAGCACGGCTCTCCGAATTCGCATGGTGTTTCGATCGCGCCCCATCTATTCCGCAACCTCATTACCGGCCATTCTTTATTATTCCAAAAGCAAACAAAACGCAGCTCCCAACGCAGCCCAACCGTTTCATCCGTCATTAACCGATAACAAATAATAATTACGAAAGCTTGTTTCACTCCTAATTACAATATATATCGAATCGAGAGCGCACAATGAGACTGGTTCGCGCAATAAAGCCGTTCGAAAATTCATGGTGGCAACGAAAGGGGAGGGAGTTGAAAAGGCTGGTTGAGCGGGAAACCAGAAATCGACCGTTGCACGAGTGTCAGAGAGGCGCGTGACAACGCGGAGAATCGCTTTTTCTTTTCTTTTTTTTTTTTTTGGTTTAATAATGAAGATTCTGGTGGAATCGTCTCGTCGAATAAACGAGACACGCGTTGTATAGGCGGGATGATTGCACGTACGCGCAGATCGTATCGCTGCTCGGTATGCAGCGGTGTTTACATATGCAGATTCGCGAGTGTACTCAAAATTCAAATCGCATTCGAATCGCTTCCGATCGTTCCACGCCTACGTCGCCACTCGTCCAAATTTCACGCTCGCGTCGCCTTCGTGCGATTTTCGAATCACCCCTTCGAATCAACCCCCCCCCCCTTCATAAATACATCCAGACTTTTCCATTAATTAATCTTGCGACTTTCCAAATTTATCCCCTTTGCAATTTGTAATGGAGAATTCGTCCTTTGCTCGCTCGTTGTGGAGAGAAGTCTTTGATAAAAGGATTTGGAATAGAGAAAATGTGATAAGTTGTGTGGAAGTTTTTCTTAAATATTTTTACTTTTGTTTCGTCATTTCATCGTTGTATTTATATTTCAAAATAATTCTATAATTTCCTCGATGCAATAATAAATTTTGTACTCGCTGTATTTTGTTTACTCGCTTCTCGATTATTTTTACGAATTTCGTTCGTACTCAGATGAATATCCATGTAATTCCATTGAAAGAGGCATCGTTTACGCGTGTCCATCGTTGTTCCACGCGTATTTACCTCAACTGCGTGGTTCCAAGTTAATGAAAAAACGAATTATCCCACCGATTAAAAAGTATCCCCCGCATAATTCCTTTTTCGAGAAATGGCAAAGCGAGAATTTGACCGGTCGATCCGCCGATATCGCGATAAAATATTCGAAACGCAGTGTCAGAAACAGAATGTTCGCCAAAGTGAAAATTTGCAGTGAAATTTGCAACGAGGGAGGGAAGGAAGGTTCGCCGAATTTCAATCGCGTTCCTAAAATTTCGAGGAAATATTTAAAATTTTCGAAACTGTGCGGGGTAAATAATCACACCACATTCCTTTTACACGTGCGAAGAAAATTCTTCACGAAGACAAGGTAAATGATTTTTGAAACGATGCCAGTGTATTCGCCAGGTTCATTATCGTCACGATTCGTCTACGGTATATACGATAGAGCGTTTCGATTAATTACATATTGAAAAAAAAAAGAAAAAAGGCATACGTCTGTGTGTTGTTTGCGCACCACTCGCGAAACTTTTTCAATCTCGTACGATAGGATACGTTATTTAAGCTTCGTAAACAACTGGCGATTAAATAACGTGGCGGTAAGGCCAGGCGGAATTTCAACCCCGATATCAGAATGCTCCGAGTTCTCTTCAAAAGTCAACTAATCCAAACCAAGGATAAACCACACTGTATCCCATAATACAACATTTATATCCGTTTTGTAATCACGGGCCAGATATTCCGCAATGCGATATAGCTCGTGCGATGCAACTCTATATTCTCCCCAAAACATAATCCTCTCGAAAGCAACTCTACTCTCGAGAGTAATTCTACTCAACGAGGGAGAGATTCTCGAGAGAGCAATCTTCTCTCTTTACTTTACTTAGAAAATAACCGAGGAAAGTTTGTAACGCGATCAAACGATAAAACAATAAAATAATACGAATCAATACCGAATCGATCGATCGTCGAAACAATCGAAAAAAATATTCTGCGTGGAAAACGGAGATTAAAAGAATTGCAATTTTCCGAGCCTCGATTTCAAAAACGGGAATCTTTTTATCCGTGCGGACCGGCAAAAGTTGGGAACGAGTTGGCTGGCGTGTTAATTCGCTTCGCAAATACAAATAAGCCGAGTAACCGAGCGGCTGGCGTATTAACACAACTCGTTAACGAACCGCGTACATCCGAAAGTTGATGCGTTCTCCCCGCAACCGGTTGCCAAATCAGAGGAAACTCGTTAATTACTTTCTACCTGCCAAGAAACTAAAATAAAACTGGTGCGATCTTCGATGATGTCGTCCAGATCAGATGCTGAGGGAAGAGGGGGGCAGTTTTTACAGGGAAACTTTTTACTCGCTGTTTACACTGTGACAGAGTTGGAAGGAGAGCTCGAATAAAATATATCGGCTCTTCTTCTCGGTACAGGGAGTAATTTTAAAATTGTAAAAATCGTGAAAAAGAAAATATAAGTTGAATATCGAGCGGAATCGATTTTAAAAATATTCGATGAGCGTTAATTATCCGGCAAATGAAAATGATGATGAAGCTCGTTTTATTGGGATGCAAATTGAAAATATTATAGTGGAAAAAATTTGATTATTCCGATAAAATCAACGGTTAATCGTTGCACGATCTTTAATCTCGCTGATTAAAAATGAGCCCTTTTCGCGAAATATAAAGTTTTTTTTTTTTTTTCGTTCGATAAAGAGGAAATATGGATTTAAATAGAATATTGGATTCGTGGTATTGATGGTTAATTTGATTGAAAAAAGAAACATGAAGATTAACTGACGGGAAAATTGATGAAATTAGCCATCCAACGTTAATCGAGAACGTTAAGCTCTAAACTCTAAACCGATTGAAAAATATTAATTGCGAATTATTCGTAAATATTTTGTAATTGACGTTAAATTAAAATTTTATTGATATATATATATATATATATATATATATATATATATATATATATATA